GCAAATAAACTAACCAAGAGAGAGGAAAGATGATGGTAGACACTGCTAGGAAAATCTACCGAGAATGAAGGACTGTCTATACCACTGGAAATATTCTACAGAGGCAGAAAGGGCCACCAAGACCCATAGACTTAAAATGGCCCATGTCTGCTTGTCAGAAATCACTTTGTAGCACCTCAGCTGGGAAAAAGGTAGTCATAGTCTGTCTTCCCCTTCTCACCAACTATCTTTATAAAATAAACGAAGTGGCTAGCCCTGAATTCCTCTACCTCAAATTGTGACTCATCATGGATAATTCAAGGTAGGTAAGGCAAGTGCTTTAAGTTTTAGAATTAAAATAAGTAAATCAAATAAAAACCATCGCTTAAAATCACCAAATATAAGAAGATTTAAAAGGAGACTGTGGACCTAACGGAAATGCTGAGGATTAAAACAGCATCATTGTGTATAAAAGAGATGAATGAGGGAAAGCAAGGGCAGAATTCATATTTTCAAAATTTTAAGTAAGTGAATGCTTTTGAAGTAAAGACTCTAGATAATGGCAGCTACTGTAATCAGAGGAAAATAACAGAGTTTAAAATAATTGGATACATTATGATAGCTGTGAAGGACAAAGATGATCCAACATACAAATTACTGCTTTCTCAGAAGTGAAGACTCAACAAAAGAATCTGAAAGATATTGAATAACATAATAGAAAAAAGTATCCCTGAGGTGAAAAAGTGAAAGTGCAAAAAATGTATTAGATCAGATAGAATAAAAGCAAAGTATCAGGCTGCCGTCAGAGATTTTATGCCAATGTTCAGTGCTAGAATGTCATAGGTAGTGAGTTAACAGTAAAAGAAGTGACGAGCCCTTACTAATATTCCCAGAAAGAAAAGAAAAAAAGAAAACAGACATATTCAGCATGGAATATTTCAAGGGTTAACAAGCAAACAAGCAAACACACAAACAAAACTAATTAGCAGTAAAATACACGTAAGGAGGATGACTTAAATATTGAACTCAGTTATAGAGAAGCCATAATGGAATACAGGTTTTGAATACTGCAGCCGCCTATATATAGAATTAAGATCAAAGTGCCAAGGCAATTAATGTTGCAGAACAGAATGCAATTACTATGAACTCTGGCAAAGTTAAAATAATATAATTGTCCAGAAAACGGAAAATGAAAAAGGGTGAGGACAAATTGGAGAGGAGCTAATCACCTCAAATTGCACTGCGGGGAGTTAATGAACATTGACACGTGGGGCTGAGGCAGCCAGCTTCTAAATGGTACTCATAAACTTTTATTCTGGACATAAAGACAAGCTTTAAAAAATTCTTGTTGTGGAGAAAAATTAAAGTTCAGTAATTCTTCTTAATTTATTTCAGATTATATTTCTTCTACTAAATGACTGTTAATTGTAAGAAGCATGCCCATGTCTCTCTCTGCAGATTTATCTTTTGTGAAGATGTGTAAACGTATAACTGTGAAGATATTCAATGTATTTTAACAGGGTTGTTTTTTGTTTTGTTTTTTTCTGAGTGTAAAGATTTGGGGATGATTTGTAGTTTTTTTTTTCTTTTAACTGAATGAAGACATTATAGTAAAATAATCACTTTCACCTGAATTATACATCTAAATGCAATATGATAATGACAATGAGGGCATGACTATAGTTGCCTGCCCATGTCTCTTTGCATGAATCGGTTTGTGTGGGAGAAAGAAACCAGCAAAGAGATTTATAGGGGAGCAAAGGTACCTAGAAAAAGACAGGGTCCAGAGATTAGCATGCTACGTAACCAGGATTGAGTTTTGCTGGGCTTGCCTGACCCCATGGCTCTGTGTCTGAACTCTATATAAAAAAGTGTTGATTACCCAAGGTAAGAAACTGGTTGTCACCAAGAACGGAGTTAGCGCCTGAGTGCTGAGGCCAGGTGAAATGAGTGGGCATGGAGCGGGGAGCAGAGCCTCATCCACAGCTCCGCTCACACAGGAACCATAAAGAAAACAAACATGTTTGCTTTGCTGGGTGTTATTGAAAACTGGAATGATCTGGCATGGCGCCCAGCACAAGTATCAATCTCGTATGCAAGTTGCTGGGATCCCAGGGCTGTGGTGAGGAAACAACTTCACTAAAAAAGTAAACAAGAAAGTGTTTAGCTCATTTCAAATGAAGTTGTGTAATGCTTGAAGAAGTCCCTGAGACCTGCATGATGCCAAATTTCTGGGAAGAATCAGTGAAATGCAGTTAGTACTGTGGACTCGTGAAATCTTGGGTAACATGCTTCAGTCACGTGAAATACAAACAGCCTGGTGATTGCATGTCCCGATTTCCTGCTATTGCAAAACTTTTGACCGAATGTTAGAACATGTGCATTGAAGATTGATTCAGAATGTAATCATTTATTTGAGGTGGCCCCAAATTACATATCCTTCACTATTCCTTCTCATTGAAGAAAACTATATATTTAATTTCCCAAATGTTTAACGAGTTCTAACTCTCTAAAAACAATGTGTTAATTTTGAAAGGTTCATTGAATTCTAAGATATTTCAAGCAGATATGATTTTCTGTGCACTGATATAACGGACCATAGAAAAGGTTGATTTCCCCCCCCCCCCAAAGCATAAAGAAGAGAGTAAGCTGTGATAGATAATTATAGAATTCCAAATATCTATAGACATTTAGAGGTGGAAAAAGGAGGCCAGTTAACATGGAGACAGTAGGAACAGCTCTTGGTTTGTAGACTGAGAGACTAGAAGTGTGTGGGGAACAGTATTTTCTGACAAATAGAAACATACATGCTGAGAGGGAATCATTGATCGGCTGCCTCCAGCATGCCCTCTGCTAGGGATGGAGCCCACAACACAGGCATGTGCCCTGATCAGGAATCAAACCTGGACCTTCAGGTTCATGGCTCGTTTCTTAACCACTGAGCCACACCATCTGGCTTTTTCTTTATTAATAAAACAAAAACAAAAAATGGTAGTGTATGTGTAGAGAAATTTTTAGGAAGCAAATGGGTCTCCTTCTTCTGTTCCCAAACCACACCCAGGCCCTGACTGCAGACGGACCTTGCCTCCAGCCTGGGCAGCCCCTTTTACCTGGCAGTCCCCTAGAGGCAGGTTAGGTCTAGAGGACACACAGGAAGGACAAGCAGCAGGAGTGGAGATGGGACGGGCAGCATCTAGATGTCGGTCACCACAGTGGACTTTGGAAATGCTGGTGAGCTGAGGTTGCAAACTTTCCAGGGACAAAGTTCAGGAGGCCTGACTGCCACCAGCTCACACTTTGATATTAGAATCAGTGGGCTATTTCTTATTAGGTCAATAGATGGCGTGAACATTCATCCAACTGTCCTAGAGAATCCATAGCTCTGAAAACTGTTCCAGCTGAGAGGGTAAATTCTGTCTTTCTCTATATTGCTTTCCCAGCAGCCACTATAATTTGGTCTAAAATGGATGAATTTTTAAAGAAGTTCCTGCCTATGATGACTCTCACCTTCTTCCCACATTAAGTAATTTCTTGATTTCCATGTACAAGTTTTCATTTCTTCAAAGATTAAATTGTTTAATCCAAATACAACACTAACTTCCAGTTGGAAGAAAAACACTAATCTGTATAAGCATGATATTGTTCAGTTTTTATGAAAATAAAACATCAATAAGTTTTTAATTTTAATTTTAATTACTTTTATAGTTAATCACATACTAGTAAGGTTAGGTAGTCATACATGTGCCTACTGTGTATGACCAAAATGCAGAAAGTAATCTCAGTATAATTTTTCTAGTACCCAAAGTCAATATAGTATATTAGTGAAACTCTGTAGGTTTACATATAACAAAATAAAATTTAAAGTTAAGCCTGCCTGGTGTTGCTCAGTGGTTGAGCATCAACCTATGAACCAGGAGGTCATATTTCAAAGCCCAGTTAGGGCTCATACCGGGTTGTGGTCTCGATCCCAGAGTGGGGTGTGAAAGAGGCAACTAATCAACGATTCTCTCTCATCATTGATGTTTATAGCTCTCTCTCCTTCTCCCTTCCTCTCCGAAATTAATAAAAAATATTAATAAAATAAAAAACAACAATTATCCTCATTAAAGATTTTATATAAAAGGAATGCTCTCTTCTATTGTCACTGACATTTAAGTGAAAAAATGGCTTTGAAACAAATTATCAAATTATGTCTTACTATGTACCCAATTTCCTAAGATATTATATCAGTAATATTTAAACATAATTCTAGTTTTAAAAATATTTTCATATTTATGAAATAAGTAACAATCTTTCCAAATTTTATGTCACAGGCTTTTAATTTTTTTTCAGTCTTAATAAATGTATTTCCACACCTACATATATATCCCAGGGAATGCCTTTTAGATTGAAAGATTCTAGTTGGATTTTGAGGTAACCAAGAATACTTACTGCCTTTGGAGAAATAACACGCACACCAACATGAACAATGTCTCATTTATAACCCTTTGAGTTTTAACATGCTGCTAGGTGATAAAACACACAGAGCACACACGCAGGTGAAAGGATAGTATCTTTACTTGCTTTAAATAAATTCCAAAATAAATTTAATTTCTATACTAAGATTCTTCGTCATATCTTAGAAAATGCAGCTGCATTAACAAATCTATAATATATTAAAATAAAATCACTTATTCAAGTCAATGCTTCCAGCAAAAATTGCTCAAGATTTACCAAATGCCCCCTTTGGAATTCCTACAAGTGTGTATGTTTAACTTCCATTGAAAATAGTGGGGCATATTATATAGACTAACAGACACAATACTACAGTTTAATTCTAAATGGTTCTCTCATGTGTTACTTTGAAACTACCCTTCACTAGTTTTTCAGCTTTTTAATTGTTTGATTTATTTAAATAAGTCTTTAGCTTAAGGAAACTTAATTACACACTGAAGAGATAAGGGGATTCTAGCTTCTTATTTCAAGCTAAAACATAACCTCTACATTATCTTTCACAGTAAGCCAAAGCCAGTATCACATACCTTTCGGGAATGAATTTCTTTCACATACAATGGAAGTAGAAACTCAGATATACCTTCAAGTCGGATTCCCTTCTTGGTGACTCTCAGATTTCCCATACCATCCTACAAGCAATGAAATATAGTTCACTTTTAGGTTCATGAGAGATTGAATAACTGGCCATAATTTTATTAGGCCTAAATTGAGAAAACAGTAAGCTCAAGTCAGTGATGATTTAAGGAAAATGAGAGATTGAATCTATTTAATGAATGACTGCAGCATTTCGCATGCATATAGAGGGCTCTGTTTGACATAAGCAGGATGACAGGAATATAAAGGACCAGGTATCTTCTCTCAGCTCGATCAGAGACTAGAATGTATCTATGAATGAATCCTGTACTTTCTTCATGCATCAATCAGTTCAACGATTTGTTAGGTATAAAGATACTTGCTACCTGATTATTGGGAAAAACTTTATTTGCAGAAATCTAATAATATTTTCACATTACAGTTATACACATATTTTTATAATATTCAAATAGTCACACTCAAATAATTCCAACAAGTAATTAATAATTGATAGTATAAGTAAGCATAGTGTTTTAGTATTCAAATAATAAATAAAGCATATGTCCTATCCTTTAGAAAATAATATTATAAGAGGAGGCCCAAACAAGTACTCAAATAATGTTTATGGGGTAGAGTAAAATAAATAAGACCAGAACAACGCTACTGGGAATTTAAAAAGAAGATTTCAAACCTGACAAGTGAGTATGCCATATCTCATGGATGAGGTTGACTATGATAAAGGCCTTAAGAATATGGAATTTCTACCTGAGATGTCCTTGGAGAGAGGAGCAAAATGAACATCTGGTGACACACAGGACATAACAATGCCATCCAATCTGGATAGTATATGAAATATATTGAGAGAATACAACCGAGAGTATGCTTTGAGGCCAGAGAAAGGAAAGCCCTGAATATAAAGCTAAGAAGTCTGTGTTTATTTCAGTCTCCAAGAGAAGAAACAGAAGTTTGTGAAGAGCTCAAATGATCAGTGTTTAAGCTTTAAGACAATGCTGGTATACTATATGGGCCTAATTGACAGAGTATCAGTTAATAATGCACAACTTGGCATATGTGTGAGGGGTGTGGTGGAAGAACAACTTATAAGACCTCGTGACTAACTTTATCTGGAGATACTATAAAGGGAACATTTACAATTTATCCAAGATTTCATCTCTATGACTAAATAAGGGAACATAGTGGGCTTTGGACTTTATAAATTTGAGGTAACATTGACAATTTCAGAATTTTATAAACCATTGCATCTGTATAAAGTGGGTTAGGGAATGCCAATCACTTAAGGCATGCTTGAGTCAATCATGGTGGGTGAGCAAATTTTACTCTAAAACTTTTAGATAATGACTTAGGTTTGTGAATTGGAAAACAGTTATTTCATACATTCTGGGAGACTGTGACCAGTGATATTAGAGGAAAGCTAAGACATCCTGATGGCCCAGTCTCTACCCCTTCACCCTCCACAAAGGAAGTCATCGAAGTAGTATAAATACAATTTTGAGTAAGAATGAAAAGACTTTTAAGTTAGACAAGGAAAATGACTATTAAGAGAGAATTTTTTTATGTGGTGAGGTTTAAATCTTCTCAGCAAAGCAGAAAGTAATAGATTTTGGTTGAATTAAACTGGGGATAGGGAAGAAGAAATTCATTTCTTGAGGCCTTGACTTAAGGCAGACACTGGAACTGGCAACAAAACAAAACAAAACAAAACAACAGAGGGAGAGAATTTTAGGACCATTCAAGGCTAATTCCTTTGAGAAAATGGTCTACCTGCTTAGAGATGATGACACACCCTGGTTTCTCTGAGATAGCTGTTTATAGCAGTTTTATAACAGGCACTTCCACTCTCAAAGTGAAACGTGACTCTGATTTAGAAATTAATTATATGGCCACAGATATACTAGCTCAATTAGTATAGTTTCACAACATTCTAGCTATGTAGGAACAGACAGAGGCAGAAGTCAGTTAGAGACTCATAACTGAGGATGTGCCAGGCAGGAATGGCAGAGTCATAAGGATGCGGCATTCTAAAGTAGCAAAACTTATGCCCTTCAAATATCTGGCCATTATCTTTCTTATTGGGTAGGAACAAGTGAAGCCAAATAGCACTGTTGGGTTGTAAAATAGCACAAGGTCAAAGAATGATAATTTATAATGAATTAATGACCAAGATCAATAGGGGTTTAGAAAGATGAGAGAGGGGAAGTCAGATTTATCACCAGAAAATGGAGCTTCTTATATTGATATGTTGACAGTGAGAGAATTTTCAGATATGAAAAGGCCTAAAGAATACTTGGGCAGTGGTGGGAGAAGTGGAGACAGAACTCTCTATAATCCAGAAAGCCAATAATATTAGAACATGTGAAATGACACATGGCTTAAAGTATTACATTTCCTCAGAGGGATTTCCTTTACTAAATCTCACACTGTGACTGTCCATATATATGGTCAAATCCTATCTGAAGGAAATTTTCTGAAGTGTTCCCCATGGAGTTGCTCTGAACACATCTAATGTGGAACTATCTTAGGGAAGTAAAAAAATTCTATCACAAACATAATTCCTGTTTCAATAGTAATCTTTTTATAGTTCTTTTTTAAAGAAACATATTTTTATTGACTTCAGAGAGGAAAGAAGAGGGAGAAAGATAGAAGCATCAATGATGAGAATTATTGATTGGCTGCCTCCTGCAGACTCTCTACTGAGGATCTAGATCACAACCCTGGCTTGTGCCCTTGACCAGACTGGAACCTGGAACCTTTCAGTCCACAGACAGACTCTCTATCCATTGAGCCAAACCAGCTAGGGCATTCTTTATTTTTTAATGTACCTTAAATAAAGGGAAAATATATAATTTCCAACTCTTAAAGAGAACAATATCTTAAAAAAAAAAGTGTGTGTGTGTGTGTGTGTGTGTGTGTATATACACATGTGTGTATATATATATATATATATATATATATATATATATATATATTTTTTTTTTTTAACTCTTTTTAGGCTGTTACTTATAATTTAGTAGAGGCCCAGTGCACAAAACTTTGTGCACTGGGAGGTGGGGGGGTAGGGGTTCCCTCATTCTAGCCTGCGCCCTCTCGCAGTTTGGAATCCCTTGGGGAATGTCCACCTGCCGACTTTGGCCCCTGGGGATCGGGCCTAAGCTGGCAGTCAGACATCCCTTTGGTAGTCCAGAAGACCTCAGGAAATGTCTGACTAACAGCTTAGGCCCCCTCTCTGGGCTTAAGCTGTTATTTGGACATCCTTAGCCCTGCCGCATAGGCGGGAGAGGATCCTGCCATCACTTCTGCATGGCTAGCCATGGGCTGGCTTCTGAATGAGCTGTGCTCCCACTGAGGAAGCACTCTAACCACCAGGGGGCAGCTCCTGCATTGAGTGTCTGCCCACTGGTGGTCAGTGCACATCATAGAGACCAGTCGTTCCAGGTCATTCCAGGTGATTTCACTGTTAGGGTCAATTTGCATATGATGCTTTTATTATATAGTATAATATACTGTTTTTTCTTAAGCATAAGAGGAAGAACAAATAAAAACAAGCCTTGACAGCCTGCTTTAAATGTGTTTTTACTATGTTGTTTGCTGTTAGCCTGTAAGTTATTTTCATTTCAATTGGCCTTCTTTATTCCTGCCTATTATTAGAAAATAAATATTACAGTGATAATAATTGATAGACCTATAAATTTTACTTCTAATTCAACTTTTATAGCAATATCTTTATAGGTTATTGTTAGTATAATATATTTTATCATCTGGAGCATGATATATTGCCTTTGTTCTTAGCCAATATTTAAAGTTTCAAATAATTTATATACCACCAATTGTCAGTGCTATGAAAAGGTTTGAACTGTTTCAATATATTGAATAAGACAATAAACATTGCACTTGGTATGTTTTATTTGTATTAGTATCTTTTTTTAAATAATAATATATTTTATTGATCTTCCACAGAGAGGAAGGGAGAGGGATAGAGAGCTAGAAATGTCGATGAGAGAGAAATACAGACCAACTGCCTCCTGTGCACCCCCTACCAGGGATGTGCCCGCAACCAAGGTACATGCCCTTGACCAGAATCGAACCTGGGACCTTTTAGTCTGCAGACCGACCCTCTATCTACTGAGTCAAACCAGTTTCGGCAGTATTGGCATCCTTTTAACCATATGAATGATTTCTAAAAAGCATAATAAAATAAAATTCAATTTTTCTAAATTTTCTCTTGCTAACATATAATTTCTTGACAAATATTTTCTCCTTTTTCTAACAACCCACATATCATTCACTTCTTGGAACATACGCAAATGCTTAGTAACAAAATAATCAGAATGAAAATGTGCTGAAACAAATTAAACTATAAACAATAGTATACTTAATGACATGGTAGATATGATCATAATCATACAGTAAATGGAGAAAAAGTGGATGCAATCAATAAATCTGATTAGACTATGTATAAGGGATTAGCAAAGATGTAAACCTTATAGTAATGATATTATATATAAGAGACCAGCAAATGTTTATTTTAAGTAGATGGAGAATAGATCATAGCTGTTCAATCCAGTAGGGACATTTGTAATACACATGAATTTTATGTTCAGTACTCTTGAAAACAAATGGTTTCCCTCAGGAATTGCTGCAAGGAAAAAATTATTCCTGTGACCATGCCTACTAATCTAATATTAATTGCATAGCACAACTTTAAATGTGCAGGGAAATCCCTGTAATGTGCAGCTTTAACTTGAAATTCAAGTTCACCTCTTAAGAACGTGATCAGCCGAAACTGGTTTGGCTCAATGGATAGAGTGTCAGCCTGTGGACTCAAGGGTCCCAGGTTCTATTCTGGTCAAGGGCATGTACGTTGGTTGCGGGCACATCCCCAGTGGGGGTTGTGCAGGAGGCAGCTGATCGATGTTCCTCTCTCATTGATGTTTCTAACTTTCTATCCCTCTCCCTTACTCTCTGTAAAAAAAAAAAATCAATAAAATGTAATAAAAAAAAAAAAAAAAGAATGTGATAAAACCTTGGCAGAAGACAG